GCTGAGAACAGACCTTGGTTGTGGTAAACACTTTTCAGATACACAGACTGCGCCTGCACAGGAGGCATCTCAGAAGGTTCTTGAAAAAGACTGTTGGAGCATATTTGAGATACTTAAATAACTTACAATTTTTCTAGATACTAAGCACTAGAAAACTTGTTTAATCACAGTAAAAGTTAAAGAAACTGAGCATTTTCCAAAACTAGCCTTGAGTTCTCTTTGCCTTCCAGGTGAACGAGAAGAGATAGTAATATCAGGGCAAGCAACAAAAACAAGAGAGAAAAGTAGAAATTTACAGTTGGAAGCTATCCATGTACAAACTATGATCTGGGACCTGAAAACTGGAAGAAAAAAACCTAGAAATCACATGGCAAATGGAAATGCTGTAATAAAAACACACAGAAAGACAAGAAAAACAAAACTGTGGGCAGGGTGAGACTGCAGAAGTTCTCAAAGTATTTGAATGAGGCAACCATGTGGGTTTTTTCTTCCGAGGTCAGTGAGGGATAGTTCATATGCATTTCAGGTTATGTTTTAATGTAACATAGATTCTGAAAACTATTTTGGTTGTTTTGTTTCTAAGGAGATTGTCTGCACCATGTAGATTGGTACCCGGAACTCGTATCCGATACCTTTCCAAGCAGGTGTGCTAGCACAGATTTGAATCACAGGTGACCTTCTTGAGGATGCACAGATCCTTCTGTAGTGCTTTATCTTCGTGACACAGAAAACAGCTAATTCTTTGCTCACAAAGAACTTTGGAGCATTGTGTTCTCTGCATATATCTGAATTTTGTTACAAAAGAGGCCACTTGATTTCCAGTGTAAGAATCGAATTTAGCAATACAAAAGCTGATTAAAATACATTTTATGGGTATTTTATGTATGTGTGCATGTTTGGATTGTGGCAGATTTATTGCTATGGACTTCTAAATATAAAATGAAGAAAGAAACAAAATATGTTAGAAGTGTTTCAGTGAGGAATGACACTAGCTCTTCATTTATATGAAAACACAAGATTAGGATTGTTCTGGTATAAAGATATCAGACTTATTTTTACAACAGCCATGGTCCTTCTCTCATGAGTGGCAGACACACAAATGATGTCAGTATGTGTGACTAACAACCAAAAATAAAGCCCATATTTTTGTACTATGTAATATCCTATTAACACAAGACCGTTTTGTTTAGTTTACATTTTCTTAGGACCATTCACAACTTTTTCTCTGAGCAGTTTCCTTCTATCATATCCCGTGAACTATTGTCACTCATGCACTTCTAGTGGTTTTAGAAAGAAAAAAAATCTGCCTCATCTTCATCTGATGAAACCACTTCTGATGAAGAGTTTAGGAATTATCCCTCTCTATGACCCTTCTAATTCTACCAAGTTAAAAAAGAAAATCCATAAAAATATTTCCCAACTAATTCCTTTCCCTGATACATTGTTCCAGGTTTTTATCCTTGTAATAAATGCCTTTATACACCTTTACTGTGATAAGTGCACAGGTGATGAGCATCTCCCCAGGGTCAGACTGAACACAGGTCAAAATCCCGTATCAAATGCTCATACACATCTGAATTCTCCAAAACCACCCAAGAAGCCAGTACTTTAGCATCAGTACTTCACACAGAGCAGTGCAGCTACCAAGTTGGCAGAGGACAGGGGCTAAGAAAAAGCTTTTTTATTTCTTAAATGTAAGGCTAAGGTGTTTCCAAAGTGAGGAAAAATTGAATTTCATGGGGTTTAATGTTTCATTTCCTCCAAGCACTGGACACAGTGAGTTGCTCAACCCCAAACAAGCATGTGTACCCGTAGAAAATCCAAACCTCAGTGCTGACTGGATCTTGATCTTGCTGAACAAGTTGCTAAAGGATAGAAAATATATCTGGTACCAAGTGGAATTTCTGCTTAGAAAGAGAAAAAAAGGAGGATTTCCTTATAGCCAGCAGTTCTGGCACTAACACAGCGCACAAGTGCTGAGGATTGTACGAGCTCTACTGCCTGTGCTTTTGGATGATGGAGAGAGAGCCTATCAACTGTTCACATTACAGTAATCTTTTTTTTTATTCTCTATAAATAATTACATTTTGACTGGAACAGGGATGTGAATCCAGATTTAATTGAACCTGGATTTTTGTCACCTGGATATGCAAAGTTTGAACGGCTTCCTCAACACTGTTACACAACTGAGACCTTTTTAAAGCATCACTGTTGTTTTACCTGGATTCTCCATGCTCTACATGACCTTGTTGTGTTCATTCTGACACATTTTTTGTGACAAATGAGGAACTATTGATATGGTAACACAAAATAAGATTTGATCTTCTTCTGGAAGTTTTTCCTTTGATTAGCAATGGGAGTCTGTCATATGCTGTGCCAGCCTTGCCATGCAAACAGCCTTACATTTTGCTCTGCAAGATTTCATCCTAAGTAGTGACACTGACAATCCCTATGCATGTTTTTTTTTTTTTTCCCCAGACTTTCCAGAAGCAGACTGACATCTATAGAAATCACACTGGACTTGACCACATCAAAGTTCTATAAAGTTCTATGAGTTCTAAACCAAATGTGCCTGCAAATGCTAGACCTCTGCCAGATTTTAATTCAATGTGCAAATCATATACTTGAAGTTGAAAAAATAATCCCTGCAGGGATGATTTGACATTGAATGTGCATGTCCCCCTTTTTCTAACAGTAATAATTAATTTATAATCTGTTTCAATAAACATAGATCTTCCCCATAAATAAAGATTTAAAGTCGCAGATCAGACACAATCTCATTTTCTGTTTCAGCATTTTGACATTAATCGGTTCGTGTCTCCCACAAAAGTCCTTGGTCCCAAGTTTAGACCATAGTATTGTAAGATTTGAAAAGTGGATTAATTTCTTCTTGCCTTGTTTTCCAGTTACTGTCATAATAACTTAGAACCAAGGGCTCCTGAATGTTTTGGTTTTTTGGTTTTGGGTTTTTTTTAAATATTAAAGTCTTCATTGACATTTAAATCCCTTGTTCTTGGGATATTTTTGCACATAATAGTCTCAAATTCTAATGTAAACAAGCTGCCTGATAACGAATCCCTCTATAAAATTCAGCATCCCAACCAACCAGTTGCACCATTTCCTCTTTTGCCAGGGAACACATTTTCTGTCTTGTCTTTCTCCAGAACTGTCTGGAGTCTCTATTGTTTTATTCTGGTGACAAGAATCTATGTTGATCTTACATCCTCTACATAAACAAAAATACTGCTACATTTTTAAATCCAACAAGTCAATTGAACACAACTGTGTACAATATCCCCTAAAACACAGCTGATGGTGCTCAGCAATACTCATTCTTTGTCTGTTGGCACCTCCTAGATCTCTGTAGACACACACAGTGTAGAAAGTTATTTAGTACCACTAATGACCCCCAAAATTTCACCCTTTGTAAGTACCAGTAATTCTTCCTGGTGGTGTTAAATTTTCTGAGATTACAAATAAGTAAAGAGTTCTGGGGTGTGCTTAAGTCTTGCTTCTTTCATTTGTTCTAGTGTTTATTCTCATACATTGGATGCTTGGAAAGCTGGTTCCCAAACCATGCAAAACTCATCAATTTTGTTTGGATTTGAAGATGACTTGTGGTTTTTATGACTTGAATTTAACTTGATATTTGGCATTCTCAAGGAATTCTATAACCTCAGAGCTTTACTTCTCTTCTACTAATTTTACTCTAGCCTAGATAACTTCCATTAATTGGGAACTTTTATAATGTTTTATGAAGTATTCATATGGGCTGTTCCAGAAGTTCTCGTGCACTACTTTCTTCAGATCATAATCACTGCTTCCTACCTGATCAGGGCACTCTCTCCCAGAACAGCAAAATTATCTTTTCAGCCCTACAGACACCACCAGCTCTCCTAAGTTTAACCTTCCTCCTTCATTCTTGCATTTAAAATGAATCTTGCACATGTTTTATCTTTAAGTGCAGCATTCTTCAGATTTCTGCCCTACATCTTCTGAAGGCCTGAGTTAACAAAAATTATTAAACCCACAAACACTTCCAAATCAGCCACATCCAAAAATAAAAATACAAAAATACATTCCAATGGCTCCCCATTTTTTTTCCAACTACCATTTGCAGGCTCAAGGGAGAAGATATTTGAAGTTTTCCTTTGTAAGATAAGTAGTTTCAGTTACAAGGAAATTTTCAGCTGCTTAAACACTTTATTTAGGACACTGAATTTATTCCCTTTTATTTGATTTCCATAACTGGTATTTGGTCTTCATAGATTGAGCAGAAAGTCTTTTTATTCCATGACTAGTTTTACCTGGATATGTAAAACCACAGCTGAAACTGCGTAACAGTGCACCCTTAGGAAGGTCAACCCTGTAAACCACACTGTTCACTTTCTGAGCTGTACCTGCATGTCCTTACTGTCTTCAAAATAATAACACTAAGTTTGGCCTTGATTGTAACATATTCTTAGTTGGGAAGTGCACCAGTGGACAGAAATTACACATGCACCACCACACTTCCTCCCCAAAATATTTACAGCAGGTTCTACCTACCTCCTCATCCTAGGTCTCATGAAAGGACTTTTTCTACTTAACCAATAAATTGTTCCTTGAGGAAAGGGCTTGAAACAGACTTGACCTTATCCCTGTTTGCTTCCTGAGCTGCTTAGATAGCTGACATGTTTACAACCTTTGAAAGCCCTGGAGTTGTCTTTCTATAATGACTATAGAGGCAAATTACGTGCTCTGTGTAAAAGACAATGCTGCTATTACAGCACATATTTCTGAATTTCAGTAGTACTTTGAAGTCACTTACAGTTAAAATGGAAGCTGAACACACATCGGTTACAAAATAGAACTAGGAGTAAAATACTCTGTAAAGAAATAAAGGAATAAAAGCAATTCTACTGAACTTTTTTTTTTCCCCTAAAATATAAGAGAATTTTAAAACAAAACTTCCCTCTAAGCAGAAGAAAATGTTTATTCAAAATTAATTACCTACTCACCTTTGACTCTATCTCCTTTGTGCAGATGAATTTCCCCTTCTCCTTGAGGTTGATATGGCTTTACGACAATAAAAAGTCTTCCAGGTACAGCACTGTAAAGCTTGCGTTTTGGACCCTGATAATCCAAGGCAGACAAAGTATCCTTGTTGGCACCAGGACTGTAAACGGCACTGGGAATTGAAATTAAAAAACATTAACTGGTTATTTGAAATGGGCAAAGTTAATCATTGACCATGAGATTAGCAAGATTAAATTAAGCAGTGAACAACATAATTGTCTTCCAGTAGAACATCTAACCCTGCAAAGAAAATACACTTTTTTCATCCTAAACACGTGCTTTTAATGGTTGAAATCTTTCAATATGAAACATGATCAATACTCATCTGATCATGGTGGCCTGGAAAAGAAAACACATAACACTAAAGCTTTTAGTTTTTCTGCAAATTAAAACTGCACATTCACAGACCCTGATGAAGTTTACAATTTATAAGCAAATCATAACCTAAAAGAATCACAATTTGTCGGAAAGACTTTAAAACATCAGTATTTACAATTATTGTTGGGAATGGATATCTTTGTAATATTGTAATGCTAATTGATCAAGACAACTGAATTATTAACTGAATGGACTGAATAATCAAGTTACTTCATTACTCCAAGGCCTGGAACTAAATTTTAGACCTGCACAAAGCATGGTTCTTATGGTTAACACATTCTTTAAAAATGATCATTTCTTACTGATGGCAATCAATAGCTCTCCCAATGACTTCAGAATGGTTTGCCCAGATAAACCATAGGTAATCAAACAACACACAACCTACTTATGGTGTATAAAGGAGAAATTATTGAAAGCCAGTGAATAATGCATAAGATCACTAGACCTCCAGAAAAATGAGTGAACTGTCAAAAATATACGAAAAGAGAAAGAAGCAAATATTAAAGAGGGTGGAAAACCTATAGGAGCTATCATAACAAACTTGGAATACACTTCTATTCAACTTAAAAATAAATAAAAACTTGAGATCTTACACAGAAAGTCTAGAAACAGAAAATATTCATGAGAAAGAAAAATATTCCTAAAGATAGGAAAAATATAGGGTATGAAAGGAAGAAGAAAGATTTAATGGTGGTCCAGCATTGCAACACTCTGCTTACTCTCCTGTAAGAAGAAAGAAAAGTTCTCAAACTGCTATAAGCAAAATGAAATATGAGGGCTGAAGTTTGCTGTTTCTTCACCCTCTTTTTTAAAATCAATCTCCTACCTAAATAGGAGTCACTAAGTCACTTGTTCTCTTCTTCTGTTACTGTGAACAAGCTAATAAAAATAAGCCATACTTAAGGGCTTAAAAGTGAGCTCTGGTTGCATGCTGGTGATGGAGTTCACATCAGAAACCTCAGCCAACTCACAGTTGTTTAAAGGAAGACAGGAAAAGATAACATTTGGACTTCAGTTCTTTTGCTCCTTTCCTTTTTCCTTATAAGTGAAGAAAGAGCCATCACCATTAAAAAAATCCAGATCTATAAACTGGATGCTACACATCCGATTTCCACTTGTATCAAGCTGTATCCTCTGCCTAGTCTACCAGTAGCTAGGTAGCAATGTTATGTCCCAACATCTTCTTTCACTCCATCACAAAAGGTTCATTCATTTCCCCTCTTGCTGAAAGAAGCGGAGGTGGCACATTTAACCTTTGCACTGGATGCATCATTTCTCATGAGACAGGCATGGAAATCAGGACTGCAATGTGGGATAGAAGACTTCTTAAAAAAAGATCTTTCCTCTTCCCTTCTGTCCCCAGCCTGGGCTCTCAGCCCAGCAAGTTCCATACCATGAAGGAGCTAGGAGGAGGATGCAGAGATTTCAGAAGCCATGTGGATGTGTTTCCCTCTCACCCAGAAGAAGCTGGCCATCCACCACAGCTGTAATTGCCTACTCACAGGGCAGTGATTTCAAAAAGCTGAAGCCCTTACTTGTGATCAAAACTTAGACACAATCCTCTGTTTTATTATATTACTTAGAAACCTCCATCACTCTAATTAGTCAGGATTTACTCTCCAGTGGGACATAGCTGCAAGATATTTGCAGAAAGTGCCTGCTAAATCACATTTGCAATTCAACAGGACAGAAAGAACAGCAAAGTCATAGGGAATGAAAAACTCTGCAGCAAGGATAATAAAAGAAGCCCATGGCATCCATCACCACCATCTCAAGAAGCCCCCTTTGCTCTCAGCCAGCCTCCTACACAGCCCCACTTGTTCTCTCTATTTTACTCTTTGGTTAAGCACACATATACAGAAAGGAGAACTTAGTCATTGCTTCGTCACTCGTGAGCAGCTCCAACATAGGTTTCAGCTAGGAACAATAGTTTCACGAAGGGATCGGGTATCTCAGGAACATTTTACTTTGCTGTTAAATACAATCATTATTTCAACTATTAAAAGATCTTGAGAACTAGCACCTTGATTTGGAGGTGCAAACTCAGTGATAAGTTGCTGCTGTGCTTTGCTGAACTTTAAAGTCTGCCTGGCTGCTGGCTTTGACTGGAGCTTCCAATTAAACTATTCACACCTGGACATGTTCCACTTTGCTGAGATTTTATTACCTATATATTCTATAAAGTGCAAAATGGACATATAAATAATATTAAAGGACATGGTAGTCAAGCACAATGATGTTAGGGATATCTCATGCTGTGTGAATAGTCAAAATGTCACCTGATGTGCCTGTGCTGCTGCCGTTTGACATCCTCTCCCAGCCTGTTTAGGGATGGTGACCGGCTCCGGGAGGACGAAGCGTAACTCCCCACAGTTTTTACAGTTCCATTAGGATTATTCTGCATCTGTTGAAGTAGATGAGGTGAAAGGCTGCGGTGTGAAGAAGCAGAGGAAGAAGCTGACCACTCAGGGAGGTTGTTGATGTTCAGATTGTTGTCGCTGTTGGAACGAAGCAAGATCCGAGGTGCTGCTAAGGTGCTTGGAGGTCTCCGCCTTCTGTTCGAATAGGTGGGAGCCTCTCTAAAGGGCACTGTGTAAAGAAAGACATCCAGGGTAATTTCAAATGATTTCACCATTCATATGTGTTTACCACACTATAAAAAGATTTTGCAACATATGGCATTGTTTCTTCTGCAGAGACAGAAACTCTACCTTGCCTACATAACTAATCAGATTCGTTATCGTTAAAAAATCATTGAAACCGAATACAACTGGGCAACATTAACCTGCTTACCAGCCTGAATAAATAGTTAGGTAACGCCAGCGGCACGAGTCTGCTGAACAGTCTGAACTATAGTCTCGGAAATGGGAAACACCAAGTTTGGGTCTCCAGAAGTTCACACTTGTGCTATGTTGTCATATTCAATCAGAAAGTCATGGAACAGGGCTGATGGGCAGAATTTTTGATGCATTAACTCCTAACTTCCTTCTCCCATTGGCACCCAAACTGGGAGAATTTTGTTCCATCACAAGTTCAGGCCTAACCTGAAGGCTGTCGTGTTAACAGTCACCTTATCCCCATCTTCCAGGTTAAAAATTGAGGACATAGATTCTTCTCCTGGCAGAACTCTATTACATTGCTATAATCCCCAGGTATTCCTCTCTTTCTAATCTAGGCATTTCTACCGCATCTATTACTATTGTATATAGAACATATTACCCGAGGGTAATACACTCACTCCATCACCTGCTGTGTCCCAAAGAGAACACGCCTGTATCCAAAAGCTGTAATATACTACTTAATGAAATAGTCATAACAGAAAACAAAAACAAAGGCAATAAAAATCTAAAACAAACCACAGGGCCCATCTTTTCATCACTGGTGTTGGTACAGAGCTGCAGCCATCCGAGAATTTGTACAAGCAGCCATGACATTTTCCAGATCTCCTTTTCTCACCTTAGTGGGTCAGTTAGTTCCAAGTACAACTTAAAAGGCAAATTTCCTAATAAAAGGCACACAGCTATCACTAGATGTGATGGCATTTCCTACCCATATGATAAGGTAATAAAAGATCTGACCCTGAAAACTCATGCTTGCCCTAGTCCCCATTCATGCAATTACTCTCCTTAATTTATTTCAGTGGAACTCTGGGGGTCACAAGATTTGATCCAAAGTGCACATATTTACATCTGAAAAGTCACAGTAGTGTAACTAACAAAAGGCAGACAGACATTATTCTGAGGACTTTATTGAGCTGTTGTAATTTAAAAAAAAAAAACATATTTCAATTGGGAAAGAAGCCCCACTAAATACCATCCTACGTGTCTAAAGTGCCAGTAAGTGCCATTTATAAAGTGCCAGAAATGTCTACGCATTCAATACCCTTCAAAAACACACAAAATAACAGAATTAAGAATGTCTGTCATACTGTGCAAGTAAATAAATTCACATAAATATGAATATACATAGGAATCAATCTGCCCTGCTTTAAAATACAGCCTTTAATTGAGAAAACACAACAAAATTTAAGGTTTCAGAGCAAAACTGAAAGCATATTTACAACATAAAATAAAGATGGAATGGCAGGTAAAAGAATGCTTTATGTAATTTTCACCAGAATCAGTTTATGATTAACTACGATTGTGAATATTTTAAAATAATATCCTTCATATTTCTAATGAGCTGAAACTTTCTCTGGGAAATAGCTCAACAACATCAGAACAACCAAACAAGAAAACAGTGTGCAGAGAGAGAAAGAGCTTCAACTCAATCTCCATAATATTTCATTTGAAACAAGACTGAAACAAGGGAAGTAGTCTTTAAAAGCCTTTAAAGGGGATAAAGCAGAGAAGTGCAATATTTATGCTAGAAACCAAGAGAAACTTGGTCTCATTTTCAGAATATTCCAAGTTTTTCATATTTCATCATTACTTAAGGTTTCAAAGCAGCCGAGTATATCACTGAAAGCACCCTGGTGCTTCAAATGTCATGGTGAGAGCCCCCGTTAGTACTAACTTAAAGAAAACTCACAGCACTCATTTCCTAAACTGCCATACACAGATCATTTAGATTGATGTATATGACACAGGACACGACATTTGGGCATTGCTGTATTTTTGACATTGGGAATATGGCTCTAGAAATTATTTTATTGAAGACAGGGAGCTTTCCCAGGTACATTAAAGCAGAATAGCTACTGTAATAATTTCAGTAAAAGAGAAAGCACACCAAACTGAACAGAGGGCATGTGTTGCACATAGAGGTTTGCTAGCTGAAGGTCTAATTCTGTTCCTTTAGGGTCACCAAAGTTTGACTTAGACTTCAGTAAAAATTGGATCTGACCTTTAGATTTTAATTTTTCATTAATTATACAGGTAACACTCCAAGCAGACTACTGAGCCTTCCAGCCACAGACTGAGAAAACTGAATATTGCCAACATTTTGAGGATGTTTACTGCAACTTTTGAGAGGTTGGTGGGATATCTTCTGGTGGGAGTGGGAGGGAGCACCAGGGGCACAGTGAGAGGACAGACAAGGAATTGCTGGGCACGTTAATACAGCCAGATTTTAGAAAACACAAAACTGGCACATTCATTCCTACTGAAAAATGGGATGTTTTGTATGTACACACACTCTCCAGGCATCATTAAATTCATTATTTTTCCCTTACCTACCTTAGAAGGATTTTACACGACCATTTAGGAGTTAGCTTTTGCTTTGTTGTTTGCTTTCTTGATTCTTAAGGAGAGATCTACAAGTAAAATCACCCTCTACTACAGAAAGTAAACAGGAAAAGGGACAACTAATTACACCAATTGACGTGTGTCTAACACCAATCTTTTATAGAAAGAGTTAAAAATAAGCATTTCCGTGCCTAAAGTGATTAATATTCCACCCAACTGTTTCTTTTCCTCAGCAATCTGCAAACTGTAAGTGGGTGGATTTTTTTTTAGCTGCTTCTTATAGGCATTATTTATATTCTTTTCACAATAAAAAAACAACTACAACACAAAATGATGAAATGCAAATGTCCATGCTTTAACCCCTGTTGGACACTGGTTTTCCCTAATATTTCATCATGCTCAGAACTGTAAGAATAACTGTTGCAAAACTTGTTTGGGAAAAAAACACTTGATATAAAAAGACATGAAAACATCTGAACTAATTTCATGCCCCTAAAGTTTAAAATTAACATCCCTCAAAGTATATGTGAAAGTACCATTTAATCCTTCCTCCAGCTCTCAGAATTCTCTCCCTGGCACTTCAGACATCTAAAGGGGCAATTCAGCACCATTCACTGACAAAATTCACCTCGGAAATTCCTTACGTGTCTACAAATGCATTTCTTAGGGAACAAAAACATTGTTATAACTACTTGACTCTTTAGAGAAAAACCTAAAACGAATAAAGTCACATCCAGCTTTAATAATCAGTTGCCTAAATGGACTGTCTAACACAAAATTATTTTGAGAAAGAAATTGCAGGAATTGATTAATTATAGAGTCACTATGCCGATCATATTAAATGTACACAAGAAAACACCGGTTTGAAACATCAAAGTGTTCTGCTTTCATTGCTTACCTTCTTTCTTTGTGAAGGCATTTAACAAAGACTTCATTTTTCCCTTTTTACTTTAGCAGCAATCCCCTCATTATATAACCTTTGCAGGGAAGAAAGAGGTAAAAAAAATATAGATATATATAAAAAAAAAAAAAATAGAAAGAAAAGAAAGCTACCCAATTTCTATGTGTTCAGGCTGCCTGCACCCTGACATAAGCAGCAGGTTTCTGGGCACTGTGTAATTGCAAGCATAGCCGGGCATGCAGTACCCAGCGTTCTGGTGACAAAGCCCACCCCACATTCTGTCTGTCAGCTGGGAGCCAACTGTGCATAGACTGGAGCTGCTCAAAAAAA